TACATTGTATCTATTTTTATTGCTAAATTATTTTTTATAATCTCACATGATATTATATAAAAATGTAAATTCCCCTAAAAACTATTAGCAAAAACTGAAGTTCGAATTGTGTTCATCTCTATCACACTGCTCCAATTAAACCTACTTGAAGGACTTTCTTATATTGATGAGGCCAAAGAGGTCAATTATATACTGAAGGTGAAAATGGACTTTTAGTGGTGAACTCAATGTAGTGTATGTACATCTTGATTTAAATTGACGCACACCTGACACTTATATAACAATTGTTTATAAAAATTATGTGCTACATTAAAGTTAAATATATCATAAGTATTCTTATGTTACAGGTATGCAAAATTAAATGTATAAAGGAAAAAAGATCAGTTCACACAAAAGAATGCAAAATTTCTGGATAAATTTGATTTTTAAATTTCTATGACACAATTTTTAAATAGAGTAATATAGTATTTCTATGGAAAAAAAAATCACAGAATAGTTTTAAAATAAATCCCTTACCTGTCCCTATGTTTTCTTTCCTTTTTGACTGCTCATTAAAATATTTACTTTTTCTCTCTGTTCAGCTGCCTTTCAGTTTCTAATTTTTGCTTCTCTACACACCTGTTTCTCTCCTTTTTTAAAACAAAACTTCAAACCACAAAAGCAGCCGCTGAAATGCAAACAGATAAAGTGTTCCATGCAGGTGTTTTTATTTATCCTACTAACTGCATAGAATGTCTAAGAAGGGAAAAAAAATTGCCACCTTGTATCCTAGATACAATGATGTTATGTAATGTGTAATGCTACTTGCAATTTCAAAGAAATTGCCCAGCTATTATGTAGTAAGTCCTTTTGAAACTGTGGTAATTACGAAATACAGGAGCTTTCCATTACTTCACTATATAAGGCAGATTCACTAGAGCATATTTAAATAACAGTTGTCACATATTTACCTGTGTAGTGATATCTACCCACATAAGATAATGATTATTGAAAATGTTTACATACAAGTTGCTGCCTAATTTCTTTATAATATTGCCATTTTCATGATATTGTGCTGAAGATGTCCATATAATTAAAATGTGAGGTTATTGCTGTGAAATTGGAAATATTTTGAAATTATGAACATGAGAATGTCTAAACTAACAATAAATCAAGATTGATCTGTGTATTTAAATTAAGAAGAACAAAAATGTCATATATTTATTTATAGACTTTTGCCTCTTGTGTTCTACATTATGTTTGCTCCTTTTCTGAATTTTTGTTTACTCTTTATAAACATAGGAGCATTTCAGAATTCAGTCTTGGATCTCCATTTCTCATTTCCCTACTATCACTCTATAGTTGTTTTCATTCATCCTGGTACTCTCAATCTGATCATTGCCTGCATGTGCTTATCCCCTCTGGATTTTAATCTCTGACTCATGTTTCTTTCCACTTCAGTATTGTATAACCAGTTACTTTCTTGACCTTTCCACTCAGAAGATTTTACAGAACTCTCATCTTATTTTACTTAGGGGTAAATGCTTTAACAAATTGTTTTGCCTAAATACTCTTCCTCCCCTAGGCTTCCCACCCCGGTAATGAAAATGTTTGCTGGGGTGGGAAAATGTTGCTGAGTGCTGGGGTATATAGCAGACAGATACTCAATAAATATCTGTTGACGAATGAATTAATTAATAGGGCCTGATTCCCACCGTATAATTGTTGATTGACTTGAAATTATCCCTTTAAAAATTATTTTATCTTTGTTCAAGTACAAGAAGAAAATAGCTTTTCAAGGAGTTATGTAAGGTGCATGAGTGTTATATTTTTGTTTGTAATTTTCTACAAGAAGCAAAAGCCTATGACATTTATCATTTGAATGGTAAAGACCAATTCTCCTCTTTCTACACATTTATTGCTTGTATTTTCTGGTCGTCGCATAAAATGTCTGGGAGTGGAAGATGTTAGGAGACTGGGATGAGGGTGTTTTTTCCATTCCTAGTCAGGTGGGAAGCTGACAGAATTTTGAATCAGATAAATCTTGCTTTGAATTTGTCTTCACATTAGTAGTTGCTTTATTTTGAACAATTAACTGCTTCTGACCTTCATTTTCATGACTTAAAAAATCTAGTAAAAATTTATCCCTAACAGCTTAATCAGAAGGTTCCGTGGATTTCAATAAGTAATTTTACAATCACAAATATCATGACCTTACAAAACAATATGGTTGAAAAGAGAACTTTTGGAAGCCCATATATATTAAAACAGCAGCAAAAACATAATTTTATGATAAAGAATCTCTAAGAATAGCTGTTCTTTATTATTAAAATTTGGCTGCAAACTTTCCATTGATTTTATACTTTGCATATTTGTGTATGGAAAGTATGAAATTATGTGAAACTATGATACCACACTCAGCAGAATAGCATTTATAAAAATACAAAGATAAATGAACCAAAATAATTGTGAAACTTGTTTTTAAATAAAATGTTATTATAGTCAAAGTGGAAAAGCTTAGTGTTTCAGGATTTTCATGACTGAGGCATCAGCTGGGGCCCAGATTTAGTGGGATTGACTCAAAGTGCATTCACAGGCTGCTCCTGATCCAGCGAATTTCTTATAGACTAATAGGAAAACATATAAAACTTTTACAAAAACTGCTCAAGTATTCTGAATATATCATACTAGTGTATCTGTACCCATCCAATTATGTTGGTGAAATAAAAAATAAATGGTAATGAGTAAGTTATACATAGATTTTGTATGTGTGTGTACATATTTAAAAAGGATGTTTTCACATTTTATTTTACTTGAGGTTTTGATTTTTATACTTAAATCTAATTTTCTCCTTTACTTCCTTCCAAATGTGTCTTCCTTTCCTTCTTCCCTCCCTCCTGCTTATTTTTATCTTTCTTTCAATAATATGGCATCTTTATATCTTTTTTTTCCATGAAAGATACTAAAAAAAAAGCAGGATGCATTTTAAAACTGTCACTACTATAAATATTATTCAGGAGAATAGAGGGAGAGATTTTCCTTTTTAAACAAAACAAAACCCTGTGGGCAGTCCCAGGCATGTAACCAATTACTTATCCACTTGTCCATATACCTTTTGTTATATGAATATTTTTCACAGTATGACTGTCTTTAAGATTCACAAAGATGCTTTTGGCAGATCATCAAATATTTGTTCCATCAAAAAAATGTGATAGCTACTTATAATAGGGGCACTGCAATCTCAATCACTGCATAGGAGGCTCTGTGAAGTACAAAAGGGGATAGGTGGATATCTGCAACAATTATTTTTGCCTTAAGTATAATAAAATTCAGGACAATTTGAAGTATGCATGTACAGAGTGCATCTGCGGTTTCTTACTGTAAACATGTGCTCTGTAAACTGAATGGAAAGTAGCAAATTGCAAGGCCCAAAGTATTTACTTACACTCAGAGGGGGGATATTTTGAAATTAAAGATGAAAAAGAAAAAAAAGCATCATGATATCTATTTCAACAATTCAAATGAGTGAGATATTATCATCTTGTTTACACTCTAATCTAGTTGCTTAAAATCTGTACCTCTCCACGCAGGTTCTGTCAGTTATATATGTTTTCAATGAATATTTTCATGTTCTTTTTTCTGTTCTCCCTCATAAGGTCCGTCTGTCTCTTTCACATAAAATCTGTGTAGTTTTAATGTCTGCAAGTCAGATCGGGATTTTAAAAATATTACTATTCATGAGGTCTTCAGATTCTCCTGCAGTTATCGGGTTCTACTTTTTATATTTCCCTCTGGTCATTTGTCATAGTAGACTTAGTACTTTTAAAAACAATAATGGGGTTGCTGGAGCATTTCCTAATAGTTTAATAAAATCACCTTCTCTCTCTCTCTCTTCTTTTAGCAAATAACTTTAGACCTAAGACCCATTTCTTGAGTTTTACCTGTAAATGATCCCCTTTAAAATATGCAAATAACTTTCCAAAAGCACGCTGTCTGATTATACTGCATTGCCAAGGGCAAAATAAAAAGAAAGGCTAAATCATATACTAATTCTGTAACTTTTGCTCAGGCTGACATTCAGTTTTCTCAAATTACTGACATAACTCTCTACTCTTGTGGGAAATAATTCAGAGGATAATTTTCTTAGAAGGCTTAATTTTACTGAAACTGGTGGTAAGAACCTTTCTTTGGCTCTGATGACAGGTCATGGCCTGCTGTAAAGTATCAGAAAAGGGTGCAATGAAATAACAATCTCAGATCCTCCCTGGTGGCACAAGTGGTTAAGCACAGAGCTGTGAAGCTGTAGACAGCCTGTGCAGCATGAGTTCGATCCCCAGCCAGGGAACTGACCCACAAGGCGCAGCAGACCTCTCCTGTCTCACCCACTGCTTCCCTCAGCAGTGCATTTCATTGGATTGTCTGTTATGCTCCCCAGTCTATCTCTGGTGAATCCTCTCACCCCCACCATGCATTTCTGGTCTACATCCCAAACCTTGTATGCATAAATAAATCTTTAAAAAAGTATTTATGCATGAATTCCTAATTCACTATTATTAAAGAAAATTAAATTGATTATCCCCCTTCTGTAGGAATCTTTACATGACGTGATTTATACACTTTATTCAGATGTGTATATATTTCTAATAAGTGACATGATCTGTCCCACAATAGCGCAATCAAGCAAGTAGAGCAGAACACATCAGTGGGTTTTTCCCCATCTACTAAATTGAAACCAATTCAATAATTTGCTTAAGCAGATTTCTTAGAGGACACCCTCTCTTTTTAGCTCAGCTTTTTTTTTTTTTTTTTTTTTTTTGTATTTTCCTTCTATTTCTCACTCTCCCTTTCAGATATTGACAGTCCATGGCAGTGGAAGCAATTCTAATGGCAGCGGGGGAGAAGGCTTTGCATATGGCTCTTCTTTGCTTCTGGTGTCTGCAGCTGGACTCCCCATGCCTTGCTTATCTACAGGAGATAACTAAAATCTGAAGACAAATTGTCATCTATTTTCCTTGTTACAGGCAACGATGGAAAGTTCTACCACTCAGATTTTACCACAGTCTGATCCGGTTAGCAAAGTCTCCTGCCAAAATTCAGTTACCTTCTCAGAATCTCTAAGAACTTAAGGTAATTTTTCAGAGTCCTCATAATAATATTATTTTATTCTAATCATACCACATTGCTCATTTTTCTGTGAACTCTCCTTTGATACCCAAGTTAGGCAACATCCCTATGACCTTGTTATAACTTTAAATCTCTATGTTAGTATTTCATTATAGAAGATAGATGGTGATACACACAGTTCTTTATCTGCTTATTTAAACTTTTTAAATTCCTTACCACATGTACCCTGAGTGGAAGGAAGGCAAAGTTTCAATTTCTGAAATGGATAATTATTATCAAAAACTTACCTCCATTTCAATTTTAAATATGCTCCTTCAATATTAATGGATATTCAAATAAGCATAGAACTACCAATCCAATAAGTAACACAGAAATAAAGCTGCAAAGTATTTGTAAATTTTACTACTGATACTCGGTAACCCAATTTAAAAAAGTAGCATTGACTTTTTCAAAGTAAATAACTACAGCTTGTGTTCAACACCATTTTCCAAAGTTGGATGCGTGAGCTAATTTACAATAATAAACCAAAAATATAGTAATACTATTTTTCATGAATCAAAGAGGGTCATTTTTATAGATTACTTTTGATTACTTTTAAATTTAATAATATAAAGGAAATTGTGATAAATTCCTGATGCCTGAAATGCTTTCAATAGTTCTCTATTCATATAACCTAAAGATTGATATTTGTATGGATCTAACACTCCTTTGAGGATAAAAACCATTATTGGCCTATTAGGCTCCAAAATGAATGAGCTTTCAACTCTCAAATGTAAGGGAGTACATTTGATCAGTGGGAATAGATAAACCACAGTAATACTAAATGAAGTTGGTTGAGAAGCATGCATAGTAATTAATAATAAGTAATATATGTTCAAGGTATTTTGATCAATTAGAATCTCTTCCTACTATTAAACAAGTTAACTTGTTTTGTTTCAGTTTTCAAATGTGAATTATGATATATGTGTGATTTAGATATCTGGTGATCATCTGCATTTTTCAAGCCATACAACTATCACTTTCTAAAATTTGCCGGTAACTTAACAAATTATTCCAAATTATATGTCCAAAAACCAGAATGGTTTTATTAAATGAATTTTTGATTTATGTTTTCTTTTTAACACTTAATATTTTTAAAAAAAATCAGGATATTTGTGAAACAAGTATTCTAATTAATTTGTGGTAATCATTTTTACATATCTGCTACATAGGATACACAGTGGCAATTACAATGGGCTGTTGCCATATATTTTGTCAAAAAAACACATTAAACATATTGCTGACTTCAAGCCTTTCTATTATCCTAGATAATCAAGCCAATGTAAAGATACTTTGTTTCAGATGCTTAAGCACACACACAAAACACAAAACACTCTTCTTGCAAATTTGCTCTTAGCAAAAAAAAAAAAAATTCCAGTATTCAAATCAGTATATTAATACTTTACTTTTGTATTCTTCAGAAGAAAATGAACAAAAACCTACAAAATATGAAAATAATGCTCATCACCACTTATCACAAAACCACAGTGAGATACCATACACACTTTGAGAATGATCCATATCAAAAAGGTCAGAATCAGCAAGTGTTGGTGAGGATATGGAGAAAATGGAAACTTTCTACATTTTGGTAGAAATGTAGACTAGTCCAACCTTTATGAAAAACAGTACAGAGGTTTCTTAAAATATTTGAAAATAACTCTATCATATGATCCAGTATTTCCACTCCTATGTATCCACCTGAAGAATGCAAAAACACTAATTTGTAGGATTATGTGCAACACTATGTTCATTGCAGTACTATTTACAATAACTGAGTTATAAAACAACTCAAGTGACACCCAAGGAAAGATGAGTAGATAGAAATATGTATTAAAAATACACTGTGGAATAATACTCAACTATATAAAAAAGATGATATCCTCTTGCCATTTACAAAATGATGAATAGAAGTGGATAAAAACAAGTCAAAAGAAGAAAGACAAATTCAAGATGACTTCATTTATATGTTGAATATAAAGAAAAAGTAACAAAGGGTCAGACAGAACCAAACCATTAACAAATCCTAGAAGTCTGTCTGCAGAATTGAGGCTGCTGGAGAGGAAGGGGTAGGTGGAAAGTAGGGTTCAGAGAGGACCCACTGTACTATGTTGGAGGACTATGGATGCTTAGTGGTAAGTAAAATGAGGTAATATACTTCTGAAGAAGTGTGATTCTGTAATTTTGAATCATGCACATGTTGTAAATCAGTGTTAAATCAATAAAAATGAGATAAAGAGATGTTAAGTGAAAAGAAGTTATGAAGCTAAGCTCATGTGGCAGGATTGAAAGGCCTTTACAAGAGAAAATACAAAACACTGTTAAAAGAAATAGAAGACACAAAGAAATGGAAAGATATTCCTTGCTCATGGATTGGAAGAATTAGCATTATCAAAATTGCCATCCTACCAAAAACAATTCAATGCAACTCCAATAAAAATTTCAATGGCATTCTTCAATAAATTGGAACAAATATTGTTGAAATTCAATCATAACTACAGAAAAACCCTGAAGAGCAAAATATTTCCTGATGGAAAGGAGATATATAAGTATTACATTCACAAATATTAACTTAAATATTTTAAGAAAGAGATAATAATGTATCTGAAAGTCATTACCATGGTGGTTACTTAAAAAAAAAAAATTGAATAATCCTCTGAAGCAAATGCAATTTCCCTTTGAGTTTCATTTTCTATACAATAGGTATTTGCTAAGCAAAAAATGATGAATGATCTAAGATCCTGGAGAATAGATCATTTCACTTATACAAGTGAACACTTTTATGCACTTGAACAGAAAATTCTATCAGTTATGATGTAACAAATTAAGGTGCTATAATTCAACCCAATATAGTATGACTTGCAAATGCATGATTGGCTTTTATAAAATACATTTTGATTATTTACCTTGAGTTGGATTTTAATTATTAAATTCCATATAGTAGTATTCATACTGCAAATTCCAACACTGTAATATATACTCAGAGAGAAATCTCTAGAAATTATATAACTTACCATTATAGGATACCTCAGTGCATAAGGTTGTGGCTGATAAATGGAATGCGCTAAAAACTGTTCTGTAAGTATCTTGTTTCATTGCATATAGGCACTACAATAAGAGAAACAAACTCATCAATATTGCTCATAAAATATCTAAAAGGTTGTGAAGTATATTTTATCTAGAAGTATAAATCTGTGTTAAGTAGCATTTTATTTAATGTGAAATAAATGCAGATTGAGTGATATATAGAACTCAACATATAAAATTATTAGCCTTTTACCTTATTTATTGAAAAATACTGGCATATATTATAAATATGCTCTTTGTTCTAAATTCATTACACAAATACTTAAACTTGCTAACATTTATAAGTTTCTCTCCTCCCAAGTATTTTTAAATCATTATGTAATAAGTGACTGGGAGAGAAGCTGATGATTCCATCACAAAAAGGGGAATTCAAAAGGAATAAGACATATCACTTTACCTTCTATACTCACATAAGTATTGGCAACAGAAAATACAGTTTTCAATTATTTTGAAGCAAATTGCTAATAAAATGAACCATAAAAATTTTAACCCTGAGTGTATGGACAAAAAAATAACTACTACTACTAACTACTACTTTGAATTAAGTCAATGAATATATACTATTTTTATCACTAAAATAATCCATACAATTAGAGATAGAAAGAGCTCCCATCATGCTTATATTTCTTACTAAAAGCATGTCTCAGCCCTTAAGCTTTAATATACCCACTATCAAATGGAGCATATGTCATTTACTCATCAATCTCAGAGGCTCAAGATGCCACATGTAATTAAAGAAAAATAGAACTTTATTAGCTTAAACTATCATCTTCAATTTCATAAAATAGATATCCTCTAAAGCCCAGGACTATTTTATATTTTATAAAGGATCATGTAAGTTATATTTTATATATCCAATGTCTAAATTACTCTCTCAGGAAACATTTCTCATTAAGATGATTTAAATATAAAGTGTGTTATATAAGATATATCAGAATATTTCATGTGAAATATTTATAAAATAAGATGGTAGACATTTCTAAATCTGGAATGTACATGGTTAATGATTATATCTTTGTGTTTGTCCTCAGGTTCCCGCAATATTAAGCTCTAGGTTCTGTAACTTTATAGGCAGGAGCCAACCTCAGTAATGAATCAGGTTTAAAATCCAGAAGCCCTGCAAGCAATTCCAAATGACAGCTCCATAGGAAAGAAAAAAATCAAGACATAGTTTTGTTACAACCATTGGGAACAAGAGAAAAGCAAGTTCTCAAACCCAGAAGAGAGATAAAGTAACATATTTGCCATGGATTCTTTCAGTTTCCCTTAGGAAAGAGTAACTACTCTAAGCTACCCCTTTCTGGTAAGTTTTTATGGGAAGAAATACAAATAGAGTATACCCAGGAAAGGCCTGTGTAAAGTGACAGAAATTGAACTTATGTTACACTTAGGGCACTTCAAGTGAAAAGCTGACAGGTGAGAGCACGTCTTTGTTAGGATATAAAATCCAATATAACGACAAAAAAGAACAGTGCAGTATTTGCCTTCCTTGAAGCAGAAATTCTTGAACACAAAAGATGAAAATTCTAGCTAATACCTGTATTCTTAACTATTCCTATAGACTGTAAAATGTGAGATAAAGGCAATCCTTGCATACATAAAGGCAATCCTTGCAATGCCTAGGTTAATGAAAAAAAAAAGATCCAAGGAAAATTTATGGACATTAATGTATAAGCACAATGAATAATCTCCAATGTAAAGTAATATAATATAGTGTCTAAGGTTTCAATGGTTTTAGGGAAAGCGACACTAAAATTTTGACGCTCTGACAATCATTAAACATACTAACTAGAATGACTTTCCCCTTAGTTAAATATTATAAAAGGCCACCAAAGACAATATATTTTTCTAGTGAATATATTTCCTATATTTTATGTCTAGCAGTTATGTCTACTAGTTATGTCAGAACAGAGATAGTAGATGCATAATTGAGTGTGTAGGGAGCGAACGAAGCACAGGTATATGAATATGCCTTTGAGTCCAAATCCTATGCATTAAATGAAACCTGTTACAGCTCAATCAAATAAATTTGTTGAGTAGATTATTTTTCTATCTAGTAAGAGTTCATGCAGTAGCTAAGAGGGCATTACTGTTAAACACGTATGTAATCTAAAGCTTTTGAATCATCACAGTGGGTTAATAGTCATGTTCTGACCCTATGTCACATTTATAACATCTTTATTTCTAAGACACAATAACTCCTTTCAGTGGCAATTATTTTGGAGTAACTGAACAAATAAGAAAATAAAATTCTTTCTTAATTATGATTTTGAAGTCATTCTAGCATTTAGTAATTTTCATGATGTTGCAAAAAGAAAAATATTCAAGATATAAACATTAGAACCTGAATAAAAGCAATGTTATGGTTAAATTAAATCAATGTTTGACCATTTGCAATAAAAGCTGAAAACCATGTAAAACTGTCCTGAAGTTAGCCAAGCTTTTTTTAGGTGTTTAATTATGCCTTCATTTTAAAGTAGAAATGTTAGAAAGTTATTGTAGAATTGATTCCATATACTATGATTAAAAGAAAAGACAATTCTTTTTTGTACCATATATTAGGCAAAGATGTCATATCTTCCATGACAAGGTGGTTTCAATTTAACAAACAATTTTTAAAAGTGTAGCATAACCATGAAGAAATACTCATTACATCATAGGAAATGACCTCAATAATGCTTCCTTCCAAATACACTAGAATCATTGCAGCAAACAACTCTCATATTTTGAAAAAAGTTAAATTACGTCATTATCATTTAACCTATCCCAGAAGCATTCAATGATTACATGATAAAACCAAATCTATGTGTATGTACAAATGCATTTCTCCCAATTTTATAATATTTAAAGCCACATGACATATGGTAACAAATTACTCTGATTTACTGGATATTTACGTAAGTCCACATGTCAGAAAGGTAAAGGTGATTTGTTTATAAATGCGTGGTCTCTATGTCAATTCTCTTACTTCCTATACCTTTTTTAAATTTTATTTTTTAACCTATCCTTCTATATAGTAATTCAAGACTCTGGAACCCAGCCCTAGGCTAAAGGTAACTGCATTTTCCTATCTTTTATTATGCTCCCTATTTCTCAGTGTTCTCCAAATTTGGCTCAGTCTCACTCAGGTGTCTTCCACTTACTGAAGAAGTCTGTGTGCCCTCCGCCTGTAAGGGGAAAGTCATTTCTAACATTGTTGTGGAGAACAGTTCATAAGCAGGGGACAAAAACCACTGGGACAAGTCCAGAGTGACTTTCAATGGAGAAACATTATGCTATAATTTTCATTTGGAAACATAAATGAGGACCTTATGATAACATTTAGAATATAACAGAATGGTAGAACACTTGTGATGATCCTGATCCTAAGGTTTGTTTTTTTTTTTTTTTTTTTTTTCACTTCCAGCATTTAAAGACATGATTTTTTTTTTTTAATTTTTAAAGATTTTATTTATTTATGCATGGAAAAACTGGGGTATAGGCCAGAGGTGCAGGGGGTAAGAGAATTCACCAGAGACAGAGTGGGGAGCAGAACAGGTAGATCTACTGAAATACAGTGCTGAGGGAGCAGTGAGTGAGACAGGTGAGGTCTGCTGTGCCAAGAGGTTTAACTCCCTGGCTGGGGACTGAACTCTAGCATCAGAGGTGATAGCACTGAGACTTAACCTCTAGGCCACCAGGGAGGCCCCCTGAAAATGTTTTTATCTCTTCCCATTGAAATTGGTTTGCTCAGTGTTAAGTGAAATTCATCATTTACTGTAGTGACATTTTATATGATCAGACTTAACAACAGTGGCATTAATTTTCTACACAAGTGCCTTTATACACTTGTTCTTTCAACATTTGCCATTTTCTAATAGTAGTATTTGGAATATTTAGAAGAAATTCACAGCATAATTTATGGAAGATGAAGTCTGTGTTGTAAAATGCAACTCAATTCTCTCATTGGTTTATTCAGGTTATTTATGATCTGAAAATAGGCTTTGAGCTAACTGTATACATTTTGGGAGCAGGATGGCATGTATGCCACATCTCTGTTGACTGCCATGAGTTTGGTGTGATTTCTATTTTGATGTGTGTTATTATAAATGCTGCTCACAAAATGAGGAAGAGTGAATCTATTTCAGTCATTCCTAAAGTCAAATATCAATGGATAAAGAAAATTATTTTACAGAGTCACAACGAAGCAGTTTTTAATATATTGACATCACTGTACTGAACTAGACACATACTTCTAATATTTATTTGAATAAAATATCTGCATGAAAGGTTGTATATATCATTGTTATATTGTTTACAAATAGAATTCATTGCTAGTGGCAATCATCTATATTACCTGACTATATTTGATATTGTAGCTTGAGTTTTCTTTATTATTTTAAGTATAAAAATTGAAGATGAAGGAAATTTCCTGAAATGACCACAATGTGCCTAACACTTACAAGCATTATCTAGGATTGTCATGATACAATATTGATGAGAGGCTGTTCTCAACATTGCCTAAGCCACTTGAATAAAGGTCCTTCTAATTTTTGACTTGAGTATCAGTGTAACAATATCTAGGTCAACATAGTAGTTCATGATTAATAATTTTTTTTTATTTCACCAAGGCAAATATTCCCCGGCTGCAAAAGTACATTCCCAGAACCTGGAAAGATATATCTAATGAGAATGACTCAAGAATGGCAGTGCGCGTGACTGGCCAGTTTGACAGGGTGGTTATGATAGTTTGAATTCTGAGTCTCCTGTGTAAGCTCTGTGCAAATTCAACATGTTGCATAATGGTTCCAAGCCTCTATTTTCTGATATGTAGAATACTTCTAATATACACATATAGATTATATGTGTGATATATACTTATATGTATACATTACTTTCCTATAATGCTGTAACAAATTACCATAGACATACTGGTTTCAAGTAACAGTGCCAAGTGGTTTAACTCCCTCCCTAAATATGCAATTACATTGGGACAGGCTTAGGGCATGCACATATTTGGGTGGCTATTATTCTAGGTAATATAAAATATGTAAATATACATAAAATTACTGCTTATTTTTCACTTAAAATTGAGCTTATTGTATCACCTGTGCCTGCAATATTTCTTGGCATGGCATGTTTTCTTATGTACAAAATTATATTTCACCCATGTAGACTATTAGAAATTTGATTATATATAGATAGAAATATACATATCTACTAGACAGCAGTAGATATAGAATATACATAAATGTATATGTTTAGCTATAGACATAAATATCAATATCTGTCCTTCATCTGTCTATATACATACTCAAGGAACTCCCTGTAAGAGTCTGTTCAATGTAAAGCATTACTTTTGTTATGCTTAGTTTTTTTTTATGAGGTAAAATTGGTTCAGTTTTATATATGTTTTAGGAATACAGGGTCCCACCTCTTCAAAGGTATATTACCAGACCAAGTCCACCACCAAAATCCAATAACCCAACACCATAATCCACTTGGCTCCCTCCTTCTTTGCTCTCATTCTCCTCTCTTACAAACTGTGGTCAGTTTGTAAGGGTTTGTTTGGGTATATACTAAGTATATATCTTAAACAAAATGCATATATACACGCATATCTACATATATAGCGACATATTTATATATGTAGATAAATATGTAAACATCTACAAATCTATAGATGTGTGTACTTATATTTAATTACAATAATAACAGAATGACAGAAGCATAAAGGTAACTAAACTACAACACATACTCAAATACTCTGAATTTCTCTTGAATTATCACCACATACAGATTCTAAACAATTATTTGTCAATTTCACATTCCTTTTTTATAAATAAAGACAGTCAGCTGATAACATATTTAATATCTTTTCAGAGAAATTTTAGCCTATTCAGAGGATTGATTCATTTCTAACTTGAAACCACATATGCAAAAAGTATTTTTAGTTGGACTAACCAATAATTCTTTTTAAATTTATTTTATATATTTTACATCATTTTTCATTTCTGCACAATGTATGCATTTTCATCTTGGTTATAGTCTCCATACAATTCCCACCATCCTTGTTTTGATCCTACTCCCTTCTCCCCGCTGGATAGTGTGTCTCTGGTTTATAGTTACTTGTTGAATTTGATTTTTACTTTAGTATAATTAGTCTTTTTCCTGGTTCCTAATTTAGGTTTTCTAAATTCCTGCTATGAGTGAGACCATCCAGTATTTTTCTTTCTCTTTCTGGCTTATTTTGCTGAGCATGATTCCTTCCAGCTCCATCCATGTTGCTGCAAATTACATGAGTTTATCTTTTTTGATAACTAAATAATATTCCATTGTGTATATGCACAACATCTTCTTGATCCAGTCATCTATTTTTGGCCTTTGGGTTATTTCCATAGCTTACCTATTGAAAATAATACTGCTATAAACATAGGGGGGCAGATGCCCTTTTGAATTAATGTTTCTATGTCCATTGGGTAAATACCTAGGAATGGAATTGCTGGATCATATGGAAGCTCCATCTTTAGCAGATTGAGGGATCTCCACACAGCTCCCTATAGTAGTTGGACCAGTTCAGTTTGTACTCCACCATCAGTGCAGGAGAGTTTCTTTTTCTCCACACCCTTGCCAGTATATATATATATTTTTTTTTAATATGTGCCATTCTCACTGGTGTAAGATTGTATCTCATTGTAGTTTTGATTTGCATTTCCCTGATTACAAGTGATGTTGAACATTTTTTCATATGCCTGTTGGCCATTTGCATTTCCTCTTTGGAGAAGTTTCTTTTTAGCTTTTCTGCCCATTTTTTTACTGGATTATTCACTTTGTTTTTGTTGAGTCTCATCAGCTCTTTGTAGATTTTCATGATCAGTCCTTTATCATTAGTGTTGTTTGCAAAAATTTTCTCCCAATTGGTGGGGTTTCTCTTTGTTTGCTGTACAGAAGTTCTTTAATTTGATGTAGTCCCAGCTGTTTATCTTTGCCTTCACTATCACTGCTTTGGATGATGTATCTTTAAAGATGTTAACTGAGATGCATGTCATGTAGTGTTGCACCTATATTTCCTTCTATATATTTTTTGGTTTCAGGTCTTATGTCTAGTTTATTAATCTTTTAGTTGTTTTTTGTGCATGGTGTGAGGTAGTAGTCAAGCTTCATTCTTTTGCATGGAGCAACCCAGTTTTCCCAGCACCATTTATTGAACAAACTTTCTTTGCTCCATTGCATATTCTTTGCTCCTTTGTTAAAGATTAGTTGACCGTAAATCTGTGGGTTTATTTCTGGATTCTCTATTTGGTTTCATTGGTCCATGTGTCTGTTTTTGTTCCAATACCACACAGTTTTGATTATTATGGCTTTGTAGTATAGTTTGATGACTGGGAGTGTGATACCTCCATTCCTTTTTTTTTTTTTTTCCCCAGGAGACCTTTGGCTATTCGGGGTTTTTGGTGGTTCCATATGAATTTCATCAATATTTGTTCTTTCTTTGAGGAATGTCATTGAAATTTTTATTGGAATAGCATTGAATCTGTACATTGCTTTTGGTAGGATGGCCATTTTGATGTTAATTCTTCCAATCCATGAGCTGGGGATGTCTTTCCATTTCTTTGTGTCTTCTTCTATTTCTTTTAACAGTGTTGTATAGTTTTCTTTGCATAGATCCTTTATCTCTTTTGTTAGGTTTATTCCCAAGTATTTGATTTTTTCTTTTGTTTCAATAATAAAAGGGATGGTTTTCTTGAGCTCTTCTTCTTCAGATTGATTTATTGTGTATAGGAAGGCTATTGATTTTTGCATGTTGAAATTGAATCCTGCTACTTTACTAAACTGATTGTTTAGTTTGATTAGTTTTTCTGTGGATTTTTCCGGGTTCTCTACATGTATTATCTTATCATCTGTGAATAGTGATAGTTTTACTTATCCCTTCCCTATTTGGATCCTTGTATGACTTTTTCTCGTCTTTTTGCTCTGGCTAGGACTTCCAGTATTATATTGAAAAGCAGCAATAAGAGTGGACATCCTTGTCTTGTTCCAGATCTTAATGGAAAAGCTTTCAACTTTTCACCATTGAGAATGATATTGGCTATGCGCTTGTCAATATGGCCTTTATGATGTTGAGGTATGTTCCTTGTATCCCGAGAATTTCAAGGGCCTTTATCATAAATGGGTGTTGTACTTTGTCGAAAGCTTTCTCAGCAACTATTGATATTATCATATGGTTTTTATATTGCTTTTTGTTGATGTGTTGGATTACATTGATTGATTTTCGCATGTTGAACCATCTTTGTGTCCCTGGAATAAATCCTACCTCATCATGGTGAGCTTTCTTATGGTTACATTTTTGGATTCTGTTAGCTAAAATTTTATTGAGGATTTTTCATCAGTGTTCATTAGAGATATTGGCCTATAGTTTTCTTTTTTTATGTTGTCCTTGTTCGGTTTTGATATTTGTGTAATGTTGGCTTCATAGAACGTGTTTGGTATTATCCCTTCCTTCTCAATTTTTTGAAAGAGTTTTTGAAGGATAGACACTAGTTCTTTTCTGAATGTTTGGTAAAATTCATTTGTAAATCCACGTGGTCCTAGGCTTTTGTTTTAGGGAAGGGTTTTGATTACCAATTCAATTTCACTGCTTGTAATTGGGCTATTTAGGTGTTCTATTTCTTCTTTATCTAGCTTTGGGTGATTGTAAAGTTGTAGGAATTTGACCATCTCCTCTAGATTGTTGAACTTGTTTGCATATAACCAATAATTCTTAACTTTCCTTATATTGTTAAAAATAAATAGCTAGTGTCTTGAAAGTTATAGTGCCAGCCTATACATTCTAGTGACCCCAGCACCTTCTTTCTGTATACCACTAGTGATTTAACCTTAGGAAGAATGAGCATTAAGATGTATCTCTTCCAATAAATATAATTTGGGTACTTTTCTAGAAGACTCCTATGTCTGTACACACAGTTCAAAATAACTTGTCTATTAAACTCTAGTAAGAGGATTTTTTTATTAGTGATAGAAGCCATTTAGAAGTAGAGTTAGGATACTATTAATGCTTATTTTCCTATATTAATCAAATAAATTTTACTATCTACATACTAACAATAAAAGGAATTAATATTCAAAGTGATTCCTCGTGAAGCCAGTAGTAGGACAAAAGGATGCTTTAAAAAATCTATTAGCTTTCTCACATTTTGAACTTTAACTTCATCTTAAACTAATACTAAATGCCAATTTGGCTGGTCTAATTAAAACTCAAAATTTTCTTTCATAACTGTATGTATATGAACAATGATAATATAAGGCCTTTCTGATAATTTCTGCTAAGAAACTTACCTTAAAAGATAGTAAGATAGTTTCATGTATATTATCAAAAAAATATATGTCCACCTTTTATTCTGGTCCGAAATACACTAATATTTTTTTAATATATTTGTAATTACTTTACTGTGTACACCCATATAATTATTTTGTATTTTTGTTTTTATATTGAGGAGAATAAGTTGATTGATAACAAATGTCAAATTTTTCAAATGGTAGTAGTTATACTCTGGATATTAATTTCTAGTTAATCAAAACAAAAACTGTGTGAATTTTGGTTAGTACCAAAAATATTCAAAATAGGTTTTCTCTTTATCTTCAAATTACAAAACTTAAGTTTCTACCTTGGGTTTTGAAACACTTATTGGTGTTGTCATTCATATCAAAATTCTAGTAAAGTATTCATGGAGGTGGAGCCACTTACTGGAATAAGTATTTCTGCCGCTTAATACAGAGAACCCTTGAATAAATAGTTCCCCTGGACACAGAGCAAAGAAGGAACTGCATTCATTTGATCAAAGGCCAGACACTGTGCTAGGACAACAGAACAACCATGAATCAAAACAGACAAATACTTTGTTTTTATGGAGTTTATGTCCAAGTGGGGCAGATACCATAAAAAGGAAATATGCCTTATGTCAAGTGGGAATAACTGCCTTGAGGAAGAACAAATTGAGGGTGGAGGAGCAGAAAGTGATGGTGATGGGAGAGTGTCCTTTCATATAAAAAAAGGTTTGTCTTAGAAAGTGAGATGTAAGCAGAGGTCAGAAAGGAGTGAAATGCAGAGGTCTTTGGGCAAACAGGTTTCCAGACAGAAGGAAATAAAAAAGCTGTCTGAAAGATAATAAATATCATTTTGTACCTTTCGGTTTTACTTCCTGGAAAGGTATCTTCCTGGTATAAATGAAACTAGGATTATTTATGGCCATAGATAATGAGGCTACCAAGATGCCTTGTGCAGAGAAGCATGTGTAGGTTACAGCAGAAATGACCCTTTTAGGCAAAGATCAGTCTTTACTGACAATCCATTAAGGCTTATTTTGGGAAGGTCAGAGAACTTGGGGTATGTTCTCAGAGAATTTCCCAAAGATGATTATGAACACTAAAGCTGCATTAGGCTTTCATTAGTCCTCTGACCCTTGATAGTCATCCTCACCCCCAACCCCAGGAATAAACTTGCAATTTTGTTAAGGCTGACTACATTTCTTACTGACACATTTTCCCTTTAAAAATGCTCTTTTTATCCTGACTTATTTTCTGTTTATTCAGAGAGTCTAATTTCTAGTTCCTCAATTTCTTTATCACACATAGGAAAACAGGTTTGTTAAATCAGACTTGTTCTTGTGAGTCAGTTCATGCTACTCAAGACATTGTTACCTCTGATAGAACATATTCTAAATTTAAATACAGTCAATCCCTGCACCACTCCATTTGCTGTTTCTTCCTCTAAAGAACAGATACAGAAATAAACTATACAAAATTCCCAGTTTGCTAACACATCTTTCTCTTTTTTCCTGCCCCTGACATTTAGATAAAGCTCCCAGAGATATATTGAGTCTGACATAATTTTCTTTCTCCTTAATGCTCCAATACATTCAAAAATTTTTTTGGGAATCAACACAAGGGCCAACAAGTACTTAACACATCATTTAAGAGACATCGGTGGGTATGTACTCTGAGGCATGCACTATACAACACTGATTCTTGAGAGCTATCAGTCTACATGTCTCTAAGTGGCGGAGGTGAAGTAAAATTTTCTTTCTGTCCCCTTATGAGGCTAAAAGAAATGTAAAGACAATTAAAATTTAGTAAATATATGTTTTTTTTTTAACTTACAGATTTTGACATATGGATTTATATAGAGATTATAAGATCCTGGATTTCAAGACAAATGCTATGATTGGGTGAGAACTTTGAGGTTTTTGAGAAGGGAATGAATGTACCTTCTACAAAGGTGAAATGTGACTGGGGAACTAACTGGGGAAAACTAACTGGGGAAAATGAAATTACAAAGTTCAAATCTTCATTTCTCATTAATTGACATGCTTTGCTACATGAGTTTAAAATGTAAATATACATATATCTTAGACTTATATGTTATATATTATAGACATAAAATGTACATTTATAGATATATCTACATAGTATAACAGGTCAATATCTATCATGTATTTTAAGATTTGAAATGGACATGCATAATGGGGTTCATTCTCTTCCACTTTTCCATTATGATGAAACTAACAAAAACGGTGGACATTTGCAGACCTGGACAACTGTACCCAATTCTATGCAAGACTTGCCAGTCCCTACTGATTGTACTTACATAAATAAGGACAATGTTGGCCTTTTTTCCAACTGCTGAGTTTTGGTTAGTAAATCAGCATGTATTATTGGGACAATAATTAACTGACTCAAACAAATAGAAATAATTTGGAACATAGTAGGAGCCCAGCTAATGCTTCTTTTTCAATTTCCTAATAGTCATTGCTTATGTTAAGTTACCTAATTATAACTATGTAATATAAAGAATATAAAGCAATGAAGTATTCTTCAATTTTATATAACATTAAGTGAGCATATTTACCTTGCTAGTTATCTTTTAAAATCTATAATTATTTTCCCACCAAAATATGTAGATTATATATTTCATCTTGGAGATTTCCTACACAACAGGACTTAGAAAAATATGCATTATGTATATATGTGTGTGTGTGTGTGTTTGTAAAAGAAAATCTCTTTATGTGAACTCTTGACATTTTTTTTTTACAAATTCCTTTTCATTTCCAAAGTTTCCAGTGAGTAAAGTTTGACCTTTAAGATAGCATAGATAATTGTAGATATATGATCACTCATTCAATTCAATATTTATTGAGATCATACTATGTTTAACATATTATATATTATTTATATTTGTTGACGTATTTATTATTTATTTCATGTATAGAAAGGGATTTGAGCAGCTTCTAGCAGTGCACATACAAAAATATTATATATATTAAAAATAAAGTAAAAATTATACAGAGGGATATAAAAATAGAAAAATTAAACGATATGGTACGTTTGTTAATCATGCATATGTTAAGTACTATATATCTGAAATAAGCATGAATTTGGTTTTTGAGCATCTTAGCAGCCAGAATAAAGATAAATTATGGAATTTTATATGATTGACAGGATTCATAATATCCATCAAATTTATTGGGAACAGCATAGATTTCTCCTACTTAAAAATGAGAGAGGTCTCCTGAGTGACCTTGTGAATAGATCATTCTGCACTAATATGAGAAACAGTCTCAAAATTATCCTTACTATAAATGTGACAGTGAATTTTTATGACTGAATTCTATAATAAGCCGTAACACAAATTGAAAGCACAAGAAAAAGTAATAGTTAATACATTTAACTCTGTGGGAAATCGATTAGTTTAAATATGGAAATATCTAGATTTATGGATATCAATTATAAAATACAGAATGGATGGACTACACAAATTTTGGGCCACTATCAAAGGTATTATTTTTCATGATAGCCATTCTATTATACACAAAGAATTTCAGAAGTGTTTAATTCTTATATGTAACAATAAGCAACAGAAAGAAAAATAACTACATCTTCCTATTCCTAGATCGCAGGTATGCAAATGTGTTTAATTGTGTTTTTTAGCTCAACTACTAGAACCAGAGCCAGGTTGTTAGACACAGAAGATTGCTTAACACCAGTTTTGTCCCCAATAGAGGTCTCAAAAGACCTTGTTGCCAGGAAACACAGAGACAAGAGTACCACAAATGCCACGGAACGTTTATGGGTGCTTTCAGTGGAACTCTCCACATGTATAATTGCTCCAGGAAGTCTATGTTACATTTTTATCTAGCCCTTTCTATGCAGCCTTTGCTTGTATTCTCTTTTTCAAAACTACATGATGCATTTTAGTGCTCTGCTGAGCATTTTTATAATGAATCCATAATTTTATTGTCCAATATTAATTTATACATTGTAGTCAATCTGAATCCTGTTAAAATATCTTAAAATAAAACTTTTATCCACATTGAATTCTTATCCACTATTATGACTTTTTATCCATTATATTATCTTAGTAGCATATTATTTTAGCCATTATATTACATAGGAAGTTAAATACATTCTCAGCTAATTTAAAATATTTGAGTTGAAAGAGATTTCCCCTATATAAAATATTGTTTACTGAAGAAATCAAAATACCGGGTAGTGCAGTAATCCACAGATTTTGTTGACAGCTTGCGTATATTTGCAGATGGTGGGCAATCACTGTTCCTTTTAGAATCCGGTTTTATAATGATGATAATTAAGAATTATTTCCCTAGCTTTAAATAATGGGTATTTTTTAACTATGTATCAGTGAAAATGATAATGATAGAAAAAGGTGAGAAGGACAAATTTGTTTCTGAGACATTTGCAAAAATAAATTGCATATAGTAATAATAGTATCATGCTAATTGGTTGTTTTTTATAAGAAATTTACATGCACTTTGAGGAGGAGAAACTATGTCCTTTTCATGTTCAAGTAAATAATTTAATAGATAATGCGCTATCTGTCAAAATGTTAACTATGAAATGATCCACATTGTATGTAAGAAATTGTATAATGAATATGAAGCTCCATAAATATGAACATTTTTCTGCACTGAAGATTATTTTACTAAAAAAAAAAAAATGGAGTTATAATAGGAAAAATGCTTTACCACCAAATTCTTAAGTATATATTATTCTTGCTCTACACATATCAATTTCTTAGTGGTATGATTACATGTAATTGACAAGTATTAGATATTTTACTGTTATAAACCAATTGAATTAAAATTCCATTAATGAAGTATAGTTCATAGCCTAAATTGTAGAATATCTTAGTGCTACTCATTATATTTATCTGAACTAAGGGCACTATCATACTAAAAGCTAAACATAATCAATACTTTAAAGCAATTAAAAACTCAATTATTGAAAACTGCATGTCATTCAGTTTACAAAATCTGATGGTTACCCTAAAAGAAGGCAATAAAGAGGTCTTAAAAGTAAAATATTTGTACTTTATTTGAACTAGATGCTAATGAACAGAAAGGAGTCTCCTTCAGATAAAAGCCTTTGATTACTACATGTCTACACTGATTATGCATCTTTATCAAATCATATAAGTTGAAGAAAGATTTATGTCTTTATTAAGATAGTTAAATATGCCCACAGGAAATGGCTCATATACTGAGTTGATAGAGGAACTATGGTATTAATCTTGTTCTATACATATCAATTTCTTATTGATATGATTACATTTAATTGACAAGATATTTTACAACCATAAACCAAATAAAATTAAAATTTCATTAATGATCTTTTAAAAGATCTTTGAAAAGATTTAATGGCTTTGACAGATGATAGATTTAAAATTTTTAAACCAAATGAAAATTTATATATGTTCCAGTAAAGAAACATTTGTCACTAAGGAAATGTAAATTTACCACATCACCAATATTTAATAGGTGATGTACATTAAACACTATAAATAACAAGCTTTGGATGAGAAATTCAAGTCATATCACATGATTTATCTGACATAAGGAACACATATTTGGGATGATCAGAGCAAGTTCTATTTATGAATTGGCTGTCATTAGTTTACAAGTAGGCCAAGCATGGTTACATGCTGCCTTTGCAAACCATACTCTCACACTAAGTTAAAAATATTCTGTGATGCAGAGATACAGAAAATTGAGTCTTGGTGTGCTATCTGTTAGGCTTTGAAGGACATCTTTCCTTGACAGCAAGTATACTGACTAGTATGTGATAGGTCTTTATTCTGAGCCAAGTATGTGTCACCTCGTTTGCCTGGTCCTAGCATTATATCATATGGGTCTCTGCCTTTCAAAAGTCAAAACTTTGGTCTTGAACATATTTCTTTATAAAAATATTAAATTTCACATCCATGCCATCCATTTTCCATATTAGCAGAGTAGTATCTGTGGCTTGAAAACCTGGTAAAGGGCCTCCCCGGTGGCGCAGCGGTTGAGCGCTGGGTTGCGAAGCTGCCCGCAGCCTCTGCAGCACCGGCTCGATCCCCGGCGGCTCCCGGGCCACCAGAGGAGGGTCCCACATGGCGCGCAGACCTCTCCTGCTGCCCGCTGCTCCCCTCAGCAGTGTACTTCGGTCCTTCTGCCTGCTCTGCTCCCCGCTCTGGCTCTGGTGAATTCTCTCACCCTCCCGCGCTTCTGACTGTACCCAGTGCTTGTATAAATAAATAAATAAATAAACAAACAAATAAATAAATAAAATAAATCTTTAAAAAAAAAAAAAGAAACCTGGTAAAAATTTATTTACATATTTCTAGACTGCAGATAGAATTCCACTGTCATTCTTAATAACCAGGTATTTAGGTTATGATAACAATGACCTGTAACTTGTTTACTAGTAATTCTAGTAATTTAAAAAATATTCCAGTCATATTCTCAAGCTCCCTCATGTTTTCTAGTTATTTCATTGCTTTCTTAGACTACAAACTTCTGATATAGGCAATGCTCATACTTTCAATTCTGCAAGTCATGCCATTTTGAGCTGTCATTCAACAACACAATTTTCTTTAGCCTCTTGGCTTCTAATAGAGGAACAGATGGATTAGAATCAATCAGGAAAAAAAAAAATCGCACACAAGGGAATAAAGGGAAAGCAAGGTAGTCAAAAATGTTAAGTACATGTTGAAATCCTAGCCCTTTAAGGAAGTTTGATATCAAGTTTAATACTGACTAAACCTCTTGCTATACATTATTAGAACAAAAAGATCAAATTAATTAATTAATGGAAATATTAAATACATGACATTTTTGTTTTCAAATCAAATTGCTCCTCTTGAGACCTAGAAATATTAAGGGGCATTCCTTGA